TTTTCCCTTCGTGAATATTTTATTCTTTTTTCCTTAATATCAAATTATATCGAATCTATTTTAAAATAGCTACGTCGATTTTTACTAAACTTTGGTTACCAGGAAGAAAGGCTTGCAAATACCACTGCGATGAAGGTATTACATCGTGCGTGTTTGGCTATGAAACTGGGCCTGATGGCTGTCCGCCTGAAAAATCATGCGCATGTCGAAATCCATGTCAATCGATTCAGTGTCAAACTGGTTATGTATGCATTCATCAACAAGCAAAATGTACCAGTGGAATATGTCTTCCTTTACCAACTTGTTTGATTTTAGAAATTTAAATTTTTTCTTCCATTATAAATCTGGCGAGATTGGATATTTGTACAGTTCACTTTATATATATGCTTAATGTATTATTTGCACATTTCAGATTTTGATTGAGAGGATTTCAAAGCTTCTATTGCTTTTAGGCATAAAAAACCCGTGCAAGGACGATGAACAACCGACGCTCGAATCAAATTCATTTATCCCCTTAGAATGCTCAGAAATCAAACGAGACAATTGCCCAATAAGTTCATATTGCAATATTAAAAATGGATCAAGCGATGGCATTTGTTGTTCCATGAAATGTATGCTCATAAAAAAATTTTAGTTTTCAATTTTTATCAGTTATTGCTAGTAATCAGATATTTTATCATGAGTAACTGAAAGGGTTAATTATAAGAAGATTTACTTGTTGTTGTTTTTAAAAATAATTTGGTATCTGAGAATAGACGAAACATAAGCCTCGCATATATCGTATCCTCCTTTTTTATTTTCGTTTTTTCCATATTTTTTCAAAACTTGGAATTTATGGTAAAACTAATTTAAAAAAAGAAAAAATACAATAATTTTCACGTCAAACAAAATTTTTAATAAATGCTTGAAATGCTAATAAAAAATTTATTATTTCTTTTGCGATAATTATTTCCCTTTTTCTAAAATTTTGGTGAATAAATATTCTGAAAGAAAAAAACAATCATTGTTGTTGCTGCACTTCGCTCATTTTTCCAATTTTTTCAGCTACATATCCTTTGCACAAAGGATACAAAGGAGTGCTATGTCCTCATGGTGGTGCATTTTCTAATTCGCCCGATGGCTTTCCTATGTCGTGTTCAGTTAGCTTTAATGATTGTCCATCCACACACTTCTGCTTTCAACAACCAAGCATGGATACTGGAAGCTGCTGCGTTACAAAAAGTTGTTTTATCGTTGCTTGATTTAATTATTAATTAGAGATTAAAGTTAATTATTAATTAGAGAATTAAAATTACAAATTATAATTTTATTTTTGCAGATTTATCATTTTTTCTTTAATTTTCTAAATTTATTTACCGCTCGTTCAATTAAAAATCAAATCAGTTTTTAGAATATGTTTGCAATTTGCCTGTGGCGAAAGGCTCGTGCAATTGGCATTTACCGCGATTTTATTACGATTCAGATCAACAAATCTGTCTCAGTTTCAATTATAGTGGATGTTTAGGCAATTTGAATAACTTTATAACGGAACAAGAATGTATAAAATTTTGCATGACATCCGATATATTGCAAGAAAATCACAATAATGGACTGACTAGGATTGAACAAATCAGTTTTTTGCTCAGTGGATCTTTCCAAGGAAAGGATCAGCGGAACGAAATTCTACGGTAAGATATTTAAAAATTAAGCAAGCTATTATCTATTTTTCCACTAAAAAGAAAGAAAAAGTGAAATAAGTTCGAAACTGGTTTTTCTCTTATGCGTTTAATCTAGGAAAAATGGTACTTCCTGAAATTTTTATCTGCTAAAAAAATTCGTGCAAATCTGATTTAAGGAAAAAAAAATTTTTTAATTAATGGATTTCAGAAAAATTCGCGATTATCTCAAAATCGAGTTCAATATTGAAGATTCACATATAAAGAATTTAGCAATAGATGACGATAATCGAGTGGAACTTTTATTAATTGGGAATGAAACGGACAAAAAGGTTGCTGATTTATCGGACGCGGTAGGCTTTTTTTTTGAATATTCTTGGAAACATTTAGTATTTTTATATATTAAGGAATTTAACGAGCGCCATGGTACCAATATATAGGAAAACTCTAAATTACTAGATCTTTTTCAGATTTCGAAAGGACGATTCACATTTGATTATAATCAAGAGATCATTAGAGCAGAACCTCATTCTTGGCGGAATATGCAAATTTTATACGATACAAATCGAGCAGCCTTTACAGTCTTCTGGGGTAGATTTTAAGACTTTTTTTGGCCTCAAATTTAACAGTTTGAAAAATATAGCGTTTATGCTCGCAGTTTAATGGATATATCCAATTTGTCTTCAAATAATATTCAAAATTTCATCGAGAATTTGATAAAATCTTACAAAGGCCAGGACATTTTTAATTGGAGCATAGAAACCTGGAATAGTGGCCAAATGCCACCACTTTTTTTTTCAATTTTTCAATTATTCAATAAATGATTTTTTATAAGTTGAAAATTTATATATTAAGAAATTGCTATTTTTTTTGGTTAATTATTGCATTTTAAAACGAGCGAATTTCTAGAAATTTTTATTAAAAAATTTGTAATTCTAAAATTTATTCATAAAGAGTTGATTCGTTTATTGGAATTTCCGAGAATCTTTCAGATTTTTAAATTTTATTTTTTCTTAATAAATAAAAATTTACTATTGCAGTGTTTGTAATTGTTTCCATACTATTTGCTTTCATCGTAATTGGCATTCTATATGTTTCATGTGTAAGTTTAAATTTGTTGCCTTTCAATTAATAATGCCTGTGGGTTGTTGATTATGTTTCTGAAGTGCGATTCGACTTTCCGCAGAAATTAATTTATCTCTCAAAAATACGGGTGATGCTGGTAATTCACTTGTCCTTCTGCTAGTGAATCCCAAATAAATCCTTGGCAAAGTTTGTCTATTGACGAATCAACGATGCAAGTCTAACTAGAAATGATAAACGCTCATAGAAAATGAGAAATTCCTCTACTCCCCCCACCAATTAATTTAATATTGATGAGTTTATGTTATAAATCTAGCTGAATATAAATATTCAGCTTGAATTTACACAAAATTGGAAATAGAAATATTGGCTTTAATAAATACTATTAAATAAAATGGAAATAATAGTTGCAAAAGAAGAATCGGTGCTTTTTCAGTGCTTTTTTTTCTCGCAAAATAGTCGACTACGTTCAGCTAGTATAACAAAAAACACTCGAGGCGATTTGAGTTTTCACAACGATAAAGATCTTCCTTCCGTCATCCAATTTAGAAACCACAGTAATGATAATATCGATATGGATATGGATATGGATATGAATGAGCGACGATCGAAGGTTTCTTATATTCCATCTTACGTTTCTAAAAATTCACAATAGAAAATGCTAATCCTAAGTATTAATGCAACTGCTTTGACCCAAGGGTGAATATTAAATGCAAATTATCATTTAAATTATCACTTAACACAAATTATCGCTTAACGTCGTAATTATTTGTGGCGTGAAATTTTACGATATGTAAAATAAGGAAATTCTTCAAGTTGAAATATTTATTATCGATATGAAACTCATATAATTAATAAGATTTTTCCTTTTAATTTCAAAATATTTCAATTGTTAACAATTATTTCAATATTTAAATAATAAAATAACATAATTATTAACTAATAATGCAACTTATTGAAATTATAAATTTATAGTAATTTACTTTTAGATATACGCAACGTGTGAAGTAAAAAATCATTTACACCACTGGCGAAATCTCTCCTCGCCAGATATTTCAAATGATCGACGACAATCAACTCACACAACCCTTTACTACTAATATTTTTCACTATTAATTCTAATAATTTATATATCGAAATATATAACAAATATATAGTGAATAAAATCAAAAATTTCGATAGGATTTGAACGATTTAAATTATTTAATATTTTAAACTAAGCAGTAGTAGTGAGCATATCGTTTGGTACTAAATTCGGTCAAATTGAACTTTAAATAGATTTGCATAGATTAGAGTTTTTGCAAACACGACCTCAGCATTTGTCATTTATCATTGTTCCTTTCTATGAGTGATTTTGCTTAATATTCTTATAATTTGCAGTAAATTATAAGTAATATTATAAAACAGTAATATTGTTTAAGTAATATTATTATAATAATATTATTACAATATTATAATATTATTTAGCAAAAATAGAAAAAGTATTCATTTGAAATAAAATTATCGAAAATTTAAGTGAAATAACGTCGTAATTATTGGTAGCGTGCATAGTGCTCAAATTTGCAGGTGAAAATGAATTTTTTTTTGAGAAGCGCATATCTATAATTGGTAACAGCGAATGCTATAGTTCCCTTTCGATGTTCTGTATGAATTGCTGATAATAATTGCTGATAATCAATAATTGAGATATACTTGAGAAATTCTTGAAATCAATCAAATCTGATTTCTTGATTAATATTTGACTTATTAATTCATATTTATTAATATAGAATAAAGGAAAAAAATCTTTTAAACCTGAAATTAATAATAGAAAAATTTATCATTTATCAAATTAATTCGTTTCTCAAGCCTTTAGCTTCACAAAATATTATTTATTGAACCAATCGGTTTCGTAGAATTTCGAAAAAATTTCTAATATAGTTGGGAACAACTCAGTAGCTTCTTTTTTCACCCTTTAGCGACAAGCGATAATATTTTTGCTTGATTAGTTGATTCCACTAATTGCTGAGGCACATCTCTTCACTAGGCACATGGAAAAGAAGATATGGATAGTCCACGGTAAGAATTCGTTATTTCTGCTAAATCTACGATAAAATATAACTTTTTGACTTCCTAAAAAGATGACAAAGCCCACTTTGCTCTTCCCCCCCCCTATCAAAAAAAAAAAATCTGCCTAGACTTTCCCTTGCGAATGCTAAATGGTATTTATAATTACAACAAATATGCGATTTAAATGTGCAGTGCAGATACAAATAAATTTATTTATTCAGTCATTTCACAGTTTGCCAAACTGAAATTGACATCAATGAAAGATAAATCAACAGGTTGTAATGGTTCTTTAGACAAATGTACATGAAAGTCTGAACCGAGCAATGTTTCGACATTATTATCAGTATCTTGAGCGAATGTTGAGATGAATTCATCGTTCCTGCAGTGGCATATAAAAAATTTCTAACGAAAATGTCCAATCTGTAAGATTTAGAAAATATTTTAAATAAAATATTTAAAATATTTTTGGAGAAATAACTAACATATCTGTTGTTTGAATTCGTTGATTAGCTTCACTCGGGGACCAATCAGAATTACTCTGATAAAGTGATAAGCAAATATCGCCGTTTGGTGAAGAGAAAAATGATGATTTGCTGAAAGCGAAAGAATATCACTTCTTTATCTTAATAATTTATTGAAAACTCATTAAGATATTCATAATAAGACGCATTAGCAATAATCTTTTCGAGTCGACGAAAAAAGACGAAAATTTTGAATCGTTTTGAAAAATTTTGAATCTCACTATTTTAACCAATAAATCCAGCAAATCCATTTAAAAGCGATATTTTGCAAGATTTTAAGAGATAAAAAGCAAATAGTACCAACTTTAAAGTTTCTATTGATAGATTTCTTTTTTAAAATAATTAACCTTTCTGTTTTTGCTACCATAACAATTTCGGATTGAATGTAGCCTGTTGGAGAGATAGATCGTTGACGTTCTTCCAAGTCGAAGAAGCGTAACATCTCATCTTTATCAATATTTGGATATAAATATCTAAGCATACTTATTAATTTATATATTTTAAAAGTATATCACCAGGTTTATAAATAAATATAGAAGAAATAATAGGTAAATAAAATTTGCATAGTGCCCTCACAATCATCAATAAGAAGGTTTAAGAAAAAAGATGAATTAACGAAATTATTCAAGGAAAAGTGGTCAAAATTGAGACAATCTGAGACAATACGATTCATATCTGAACATAAATGCAAATGCTATTTGAGCCAAGTTCAAGGTACAAAAGGAATACATAAATAGATACTAATGCAGAAATTTTCATAAGTCGAAATATCTTACTTGATTTCTTTAAGTTGAGGACATGAAGCGATACGTTGTGCAAGAGAAAACTGTTCGAGATCCTTTATTGAGAAGGGTGATAGGTGAAAAGGAACTGAAATTAGTAAATAATTATTTAAAATCAATAAATATCTCGCAATCTTATTATGTATTCTTATTATGTATAACCTTACCGACAGCATTATCTCATGAGAATTCGCATTCTCACTAAGTCATAAGTGCTGCACTTCCTCTAAGGATAGGTGTCCTTAAGTTAGATGGTGTACAAGGTAGGAGGTCCTTAGAGGCTGTTGAAAGAGTCTAACGTATAGTCATAAAGAATGTAAAAAAATCGCGCTTATTAATGATCCTAACGACTAGCAGATGAGTTTTATATTTCAAATAAAGTTTTATATTTCAAATAAAATTGTAAAAAAAATTTTAAATTTAAAAATTTAAATTTCACTTTTTTCATTGCCTTCCTCACAAACAAAACTGATACTTATCGCACCAGTTTGAGTGTCGCTGAACCGTAGAAGGAATGTGGAATGATTAGCATTAACCATTTGATTAGCAGCATTATGCTTACTTATAAAGCCTATCAGCCATCCTATAAAAATTCAAAAATAGGCAAACGGGTAACTTTTGTAAAATGCTATTGAAGATTGAAAAAAGTTAATGATAGAATTACGAAATAAGTGACTTCTACTTTAATAAAAAATTTAAATGAATTATTAAAATCTAAATTTTGGAATAAATCGACATCTCTGATTTAGGCTAGTTCCACTGGCTGTGGAGTAGAAATTTTGCCAGCCAGTCAATGCGCTGTGGAAGAAAGTTTGGTTTGCCAACCATCATTCGGATTTGTTAATGATTTTTGATACTTTACTCTTGGTGATAAGGACGATCAATCTGGGCCTCACAGTACCATTACTCGAACCAATCGACGAACTCTACCACAAAATAAATGAATTTGGTTTTAAATGAAGCGAAAAAATTTTTATATACCTTCATCCCAAAATTTTAGTAGTTTGTGTTTTATAAGTTGCATAATCGCAAAAAACCATTCCCAAAATGAGAAACTAACATCATCTTTTAGATGTTGCTGAAATTTTTCAAAATATTTTTAAAATATTTCAATAGGTACCGAGAAGAAATCCATTAGACCTCTACAAATTCGTAAAATCATACTTTGACCTATTATTAACTTAATATATTAGGAATTCAAGCCTTCTCCAGGCTTCGAAAGGAAAAGGATCTACAATAATGAAAAGGATGCAAACGCTAAATTGTCTTAACTACTTCGAAATATCAGAAAGGACCCAAATTTAAATTATAAAATTGTTATAATTTTTATTATCATTTATCTATGGATATTCATTAACTCTTGTGAATTGATGGAAAGTTATAGGCCTGCGATCATCGTTGGATGAAATTCCAAGTTTCTCAGCCATATAAGAAAGATCGCTATCACTTATTGGTCGACGAGCTCCGGTGAAATACAGGAATTTATGTTTAAGTAGGTTGGCGAGTTGAGGCCAACACACAGTTGTGACTTCAGTATTTGCCATTGTTCGATTCTATAAGTGATTATCAATAAATAATCGTTACAGTGAAAATTTGTAATAAATAATAAAAGAATATTTAGTAAAATAAAGATCATTTAAAAAAAATTCACCACATTAGCAAAAGCTCTTTGCCATAAGATGGATCCTTTCGCATCACAATCTTGACTTCCATGAACTGTAACCATTATTGGTAACGACAGCGTCCATAGTTCAAATTTGCCCAAATTACCAAGTTGAAAGGAACTTATACGAAATAGAAGAGCATATTTTTGATCGGTAGCTGTTTGTACGGCCAAAGACGCTTTACTGTCGTTGCCCTTCGATGGAGGTTTTCGATGAGCTATGCGAATTAACTTCTGAAAATCAACGATTTAAACACGAAATGCCGATAATACTCTTGGAATCAAATCTTGTTCCATCGCTCTTGCCTCTTTAGCTATTACAGGCATTATTGGAACTATATAAAAGAAATAAGAAAAACACCTTTTGAATCTAAAATCATAAAAACTTACTGAATTGACAAAACTCGCTGACATATGACCATTCTCATCGCTCGTTAATTTCTCAAAATCATTACTGATCGAACCAACAGGTTTACTGAAATTCGAATAGGCTTATCCTAAAACTGCTAGTATAATTGAGAACTATTCACTTTTTACGCCTATTGCTCTTTTTCCAAGCAATATTTCTATTTTTTGCTTCATTAATTGCTTTCGTTTTCGATTAATCACTTAGAGATTAAACCTTAACTCGTTAATTAATAAACGAACAAAATTGAGATTCTAAATCAAAAAATTCACTATGAATAAAAAAAAAGAATTTCAATAAAAAGAGCTCTAAAAAACGGTAGTGGAATAGTACTTACATATCCTTTTGCGAAGTTTGTGCAGTACTTAGCATATGAGCATCCTCTTCTGTTATTATCATAATTGTTACGTTGGTATTGACAAGATGCTGCTTAATGCCTAGCTTATCCCCAATTAAGAGTTGAACTTCAGTCAAAAACTTGTGTTGAGTTTTCAGTACCGAATCTGGTTGTATAGTAACGACAAAACTTTGTGATATAAGCATACAGAGAAGCTTTGTTAAACTATCCGAAATTGTATTAAGATCGGCAATATTTGATTGTACGGTATCATTTAGTTGAGGGCCTGAAAAAATAATAAAATATTATTGGGATATAATTAAGATTTAGTATAATAAGCTTTGCTGGTTAATACGACTAGAAATTTTTGTAGCGTAGCCATAGATACAAGTATAAATGAGTAGCCTAGTGGCAACAAGATTTTTTATGGCGGTAAAGGAGAGAGGATATACAAAAGCTTAATTCTCGAAGTACCATCAAAAAGATAATCTAATATAGTCAGTAATTAAAAATATATTATATATTTATTTATTTATATATATATTTATATTTATTTATTTATATATTTATTTATTATAAAAATATAAAAAGATGGTCTAAATGATAACTGAATCGTTCACTGAATCGTGTTTAGAAAGAAATTAGAGGTGAATTCTTTTCAAAATTAAATTAAAAATTTTATGGTAAGGGAACTTATGATAATCATCATTGATAATCAGAGGTGACAACTGATAGTTTATTACTTATTACTTATTTATTTATTGCTGAAAAATTTACGGTTATTGGAACGGAATTAGCAAAAATATTAGATATTTCATTACGTTGTCGATCGAATAAAAGCTTGGAACTATTATTGCTACTTAGTAAGTTTTAAAGCTAATGGAACTTACCTCGCTTCAATAAATCAAGCAGCCAGGATGCGATTGTTCGTAAATGCCATATTTGTTCAGCTAACAATTCGAACCTGAAATTTTTTTCTATTATATTTGGTTAAAGAGATTTCATTACCGTGAATTTGCATGATGTTTTTGCAAATTAGATAAGTCGTTGTACACTTTGCCTATTTCAATAATGTCCCTCGCATTCCTCTAAAAAATTAGCGACAAATTTTTGATCCTCAATCTCCATGCTACAACTCTGTGCACTAATGTTTTCTTATAAATTAAAAGACATTAATTTATTGCTTTATGGAACCAACTGATTCAAATAACTTAAAGTAAGTAAATAAATGGTTATTGGTCGCTTGCTTGTTAATTTAGTTAGAAATTTTGGTAAGCAAATCACTAATCACTAAGTGTGCACCAAAATTTTTTAATGATAGTCTTATCTTTAGCCTTATCTTTAACTCTTTAGCCGAACTCTGCCTTTCAAGACGACAATTACTAAGTTACCATTAATTAATTAACTAATCTGGCCATTTGATATAACTTAATTAATGGTACCAAATGAAAGAAGAAATACTAACTCGCTTTGGATTTCGTCGAGTAATTGATTTTGTTCTTCGAAAGGAAATCCCACTTGTGCTAATTTTTGTCGATTCTTCCACGTATATAAACGATCCGTAATTAATTGATTTTGAAATAAAGCAATATTGTGAACTCCATCATTCAATTTTTGTATTAAGCAGCATCTTCGTACCACTAAAGTTTCATATAAACGACTTGCTTTTCGTTGCATATTTGATATCGATAAACGCGCTTTTGCGAGAATTTCAGTCCTGCATAAAATATTTCTAGACGTAGTACCATTATTAGTACCATTCAAAGACTTTCAAAGTTGTGGAATGATTTAATTCTGGAGATACGGTAAAAATATAACCGTATGTGTTGTGCTTTATATTTCTATGGAAGCTCAGCATGGATTCGTAAGAAACTATTTGCACCTGCATGCAATCAATCAAATTCAAATCAAGAAGAATTAAAGAATTTATAGATGATTTTGTGAAGATATCCCACTAATTTCATTGCCTTATTTATAGGTGAAAACATGATGATAAAGTGATAAGCGTGAAAAGAAAAATTGACAAAAGTATACTTATGACCGATTTCGAGTTGATTAATAGTGCTATGTATTTGTTGAAGTTCTGTGAGATCATTTACAAATCGCCCTTGAAGATCTTTATTTTCTTCCCATAATGCTTGACATACTTCAGAAATTTCAATTAAAGCATTTTTTATCAACGAATATGTCAACATTACACCGTTTTTTTTTTAACGATGAAATCTCTAAAATTCCAGAGAAAATTATTAGAATCATCGAAATGAAATTTAAAACTATTAACCTATGATTAAGAGTCGGCTAAGCGCATTTCACCTATATATTTATCACCAAGTGATTAGCTGATTAATTGAAATTCCTCAAAAAGAAAGGCAAAAGAGAATAGAATGGCTTAGTGCATTGTTGCTCAATTCGGAGCTCTGGTACTATTTTATGCCCGGCAGGAACAAACCTATTCAAAAATCCGGATAATGCTGGCGACTCATCCCACTGGTACTTCTATCGTCTGGCAAGTTTGTCTAATCCGATGAGCCCCCTAAACAAACAAACTAGCAATGATGAGTGCTCTTAAAAGAAGAAATCACATTCTATATGGTAAATCACTGTTGTGATTAAATATGCCAACTAAGCCAGAAATATGCGTTAAGAAAAACAAAATTTTTTAAGAAAGAATGCAGGAAAATCGAGCTGAAACAACTAGAAAATCAATCGACTGACGCTGTAAAGTTTATTCGTTCGATTGTTCCCACAACATTTTTGCTTTTAAACGTTTCGACATTTTGATAACGAATTCATTTCAATTAATTTTTCATTTTTTTCCTTAAAAAAATTTTCGCTTAAATTTTAAGAAAATGTTTTTTTCCCTATTTTTGAATTCACTTTCTTGACACAAATCAGAAAGAAGATGTTTTTTTAGGTGTTAAAAAACAACTGCAAAAGAAAATCTATCAATTATCTATTAAGAAAAAACTTTATGTAACAATTATCGGGAACAGCTTTCGAAAAAATACAAATTTTACTACAACGAATTGGTGATCTACAATGCCAAAACTAAAAAATGACCACTCTATCCTTTTCTTTATGGTTTGTATCATTTCATTTCTAATTTGATTGGTTTCAAAAGAATGATTCGAAGATATTTATGCAGTTATGTAATATCAACAATTTAATCACATCGACAAAATAATAATAATAAAATTATTGAAATAATATAGATAACTCTTAATTCATTATAATTTTCATTTAACTATCGATATGTAATAGTTGTCCAACCTTCGTCATCGACTTCCATTCTGCGATGCCTTCGCTCTAATCTAATCCCATTATTTGATAATTCATTAACATTTTCTGAATGATTACCACAACCGCCATCACCAGAATCATCGTCACAATTACCATCATCATTATAATTATCACAGTCATCATCAGAATTTTTTATATTGCTCTGATTAACTGCTGCGGAAATAGTGCTAACAGATGGAAGAGAGCACATGAAAGAATTCAAAGTTGCAAAGTCTTTCTTCCTATACCACTGATTACATTTTAAAATGGAAGATGCGAACCACTGATCACTGCCATCCTTCAAAAATAAAAAATTTGAAATATGCTATTGTTTTTTTTTTTTTAGTTGTTAAACGTCTTTTTAAATTAACTTCTTAAAGTAGAAAAAATGGAATTGAATTTTAAAAAATTTCGAGATTTCATCAAATAATTTTTAATTAATAATTTGATATGAGTTTTCCAAAGACTTTCATTTCCTATGGCATAAATTAGCAACGAGGAAGTGATAGAATTCGAGGATTTAACTACGACTCGATACACAAATCATATAGTGTTGTAATTTTTTAAAAATTTCAGATAAGTTCAAATAACAAAGATAATATAGAAATTATATTATATAGAAATTTCTCTAGCTAATTTAAATAATTTACAGGAAAAATTCTTTATAACGGTACCACAGAAGAATATAAAAGTGGCAGCCATTAAGAAATATCCACTCATCATAAATTGATTGAAGATTGCTAAGATTGCTCTCTCTTTTTTCATTATTTCATTAATTCATGTAATATAATAAAAAAATCTTGTGAAAAAAAGAATTCTAAAAAAACCGAATGAAAAGCGTATTTTCTTTATAGGTGATCGATGCAAGAATAAGACTGACGATTTCTGTCATAGAGAACTAGTAATAAAACAAAAAATAAAACAGAATTTTTAGGAAAATGACTAAAGAGCGAGAAAACTATAACAAAATGAGATTCTTCAAAATATTATTAGAAACAATATTATTAGAAATTTATTATTTAATTTATTTATTTATTAATATAAAATAATTAAATTTAATTTATTTATTAATAAAAAATAATTAAATAAATAAAATTTAAAACAATAAATAATGATAATAATGTTCAAAAAAATTTCAAAATAAAGGTGAATTACCTCTAAAATCAAATCAAAATCGTCGTTAAATATTGTACTAATCCAGTCGATTAAATCAGCTTCACATAAATCGTCGGCCATTTTTGTTACATAATCAGCAATAACCTAAAATTTCCAATCATCTAAATTAAAAAATTCAAAAGGTCAAAAGGTCAAAAGATGATGCATGCAAAAAAGAAAGAATGAATAAGTGACCTAAAAAGACTTTGAAAATTTTACCTCAGCAAACCAATTTGCTTTTTCATTTGTCATTGAGCCACCGCACTGCATAACAACCGCCAACTGAAAACCCGTCCATGACTGCAACAGATGTTTTACGCAATCCAACCAGGATGGCAACATTGAAAAATAAACTCTACGAAATTTAATAATATAAATTTTTAATATTTCTATTTTATTACTCATATTTATATTTATTACAACTTCGTTATTAGTTCCTTAATGCATGGAAATTCTATTCCAAACAATAATTTTAAAAAGTGCAGGTGAGCTGACGACTCACCTATATTTCTAACGCAAACTAACTTCCCCCTCGAGATTTCAGTGGCCACGATAAGCATAAGCAAAGCCAAGATTGATCAGGAATTGATCAGCAGCGGTCTTTAAGCAAAAAGCTATATGTTTAACTATAAATTGAAAAATAGATAAAAATTAAACTAATTAAATTATTAAGTAAATAATAAAGCTCTAATCTCTACCAGCATCGTCAAACAAAGTTTTAAATGATGCCGACCTAATTAGATGAAAAACTATGATTATAGTTATGTTTTTTCCAACACTAAGGTCTCGACCCCCACTCCGACTCCTCCGTTTCCTCCCTACTCCCCCCACCCCTCTACCCCTCCTTTCATCCTGGCTTCCACAACCAATATTATGTACCAACATAAACTAAGAAGGCGAAATCAAAAAACTACCAGTTGATATAAAGCTATTAAATACTGAAGCGTCTCGATAGGAATTTCTAAAATGCAGCACATTTGCTAAAATTTTCAAAACTAAATTCGAAAAAAAAGAATTAATTTACCGCGTCAGCGAAATTTGGAAGGTCTTCACGGAAAATTTTATGTTTTTTATTTTTCGATTCGGTTTTGTAGTTATTTATCCATTTTTCGCTATTATTTTACCATTAATTATTTTTCCACAATTTTGATTAATCCCCAACAGTAATTTTTAAAAAATCCAGGTGGGCTGACTCACCTATGTTTCTAAAGCTAAGTACCCTTCCCCCCACCCCGACAGGGTTTTCTGTGGGTTTTCATATACATTGATAAGCCTAAACGAAGCCAAGACTAGAGGTCAAAAGGTTAAAATGCTAGTCTAGAACAGAAAAAGGTTAAAGGTTAAACGTTGGCAGAAGTTGACGGAGTTTTGACGGAAGTTGACGAAGTTTAGCGGAAGCTTACGGTGGTTGAAGAGGGTTGTCGGAAACTGATGGAAGTTTACGACAATCCATTTCAAGTTTTGCATAGTTAAGCGCATTTTGACGAGCATCGCTTTTATTTTGGAGACTATGAGCATTTTAATAATTTTTACTAATTATAAGAATAATTATGTTAATAAGAATTATAACAATTACAATAAGAAGTATAAGGACTATCGCTCTTCATTTTTCATTATAATCGTTACACTGATTTACGATTATTATAGGACGGAATTTTTGCCAGAGAGTCATTTGCGAATAGAAATACAGGTGAATTCCCAGGTAGCATTCGTCTCTTTCAGTTTTCATTCCTCACTGGCAAACAGGTTTCACTCTGGTGATCGGCAGAAGCAGTCAAACTAGAAATGGTGTCGGAAGAATGAAATGAATCTTTTTCTCTAAAAGCGCCTTAATTTCTGGCTTGGCTCGTTCCGCTGGCCCATCGGATCAAATAAATTTTATCCTGGATTCACTCGGCGATAGAAGTTTAGGTGAGTTACTAGTATCACCCGAACTTTTGAAGAATAGATTTATTCTTATCTGGAATAGAACTCGAGCTTCGAAATGAAACATTTTACGCATTTCCCCCTTCCTCTATTCCTCTTCTTTCAGTTCATTAATCCTCTCTTTAAGTTCTCTGTTGCTATAATTTGTTATACTATACTTTGTTAAACCTGAGAAAGCCCATTTCTTTTGCTCCAAAATCTGCCAAATTTTATTAAAATTCTTTGCCATTTCCCCTTAAATAGTCATCTCTTAAATCCAGTTATCCTTTTAATTCTCTAAAATACTTGCGTTGCAATCATAAGATAATTTTTATCATTTTAAAGGTCAAAATTAAAATTGACCTCATAATTATATACTTCGCTAATTATATGCATTTCTCATTTGGTACCAATTAAAGTTTTTGTTAGCCATTTATAGCCTTTTAATCACCATTTTTCTCTTTTTATTATTTTATTCTCTTTAGTTATTTAATAAATATAATATAATTGACGTTTATTTATTGTATATATCCTTTTATTTTGTTTAAGTTTATCATGGCGTTTTTGAATAAAGGATAAATCCAACTTTGCGAGTATTAAGGTTTTATTCCTCGATTATATTTTATTTTGCTAAGAAGCTGAAGCGAAGGTAAATAAATAAATTTCTAAGAAACAAATCCTCGTGGCACGAAAATCAACTCCTTTGCGGAAGTCAGTGAATTTCGCCAAGCGAAAAAGCTGTACTACATTAGATATTTACAATGTTTTTATTCCTTATTCTTGTATTATAGTGGGTTGATTTTCACGACCACTTTATTGTAATATATCCTTTTATTCGTTATCTTTTATATATCGTTAGTAAACATGCTTTTAGATCTCAAATATCCCAAAGTTCAGTGCTTCAAGTTCAAACCTAGCCTTACTACCATGGCCTCCATTGGGCCCCTTATTTTCTTTATTGCTCTGTCAAATCTCCCTGGACTATTTTATCTTATTTTCTTATTCTGAGATTGCTCAAATCTTCTGACTCGTTCTAAAAACCTAAAATTAAGTGAACCACTTATTTTTCACCTCATTTTTCATTGTTATACCATATTTTATTGTTAATATTATTACATAAAGCGTCCTTTTAATGCCTCTATTAAACTCTGTTAGACATTATTATAGTTTTTTGACAAATTTCTAAAACCAGCTAATATCCGAAATAGCTGCTATTCTAAAATTTTACATATTAATATTAAGCTCTTTCGTAGCAGAAAGGATTTTTATATTTTTAAGCCTCATAGTATATCCATTCCTTATTAATCCATGTATGGTAACTTAAGTACTTCTTTATATCTTTTCCGTTATAATTCACTATTGGCTTATAAAGACCCATCATGAATCTTTGAAATATCGACAAGTATCTTTATACCTTTGATATCTCTCAAAACCTATTGTATATAAATATATATATATATTTATAAATATGAAAAACTTCAGCAAATTTATTAACAGTAAATATCTCCTTTCTGCTGCTTTAATCCTTATTATCGCCTCTTTCCAATGCATTTTCATTTTTTACTTTAAAAGCAGAAAATTGCGGTGTACTTTTGCCACGACTATGGCTGTAAAATATGAAATATTTATATTTATATATATTGAAATATATGAAATATTACAAAGTTAACATCAAAATGAAGTATCGAAGAAGTATAGCTGAAGCTGGATGATAAGAAGAAATTACAGGGTGATAAGTGGAATAGGATTTGAAATTGTTAAATGATTTAAAAACCATTATATTCCTCCATAGAATTTTTCTAATATATAACCAATATGAGTCGAATTGAATTATAAGCATTATACTATAGTTTTCAAATAGATTTTGTCGATTTTTTGATTACACATTGATTATATTTTTTTATTTTATCATTATTATTTTATTAGATGTCGAATAATTACATAGTATCGGCACAGAAGCCAACAGTCATCACTCATGCGCTTACCGGCAATTTTTTCGATAAAAAACAGCTTCAGTTAGTTCTCGCACGAATTAATCGGCTTGAAGTATTATCGATTACAGCTGAAGGCTTAAAATCATTTAGTGAAATTCCAGTATTTGGACGAATTGCTTTGATTAAGGTTTTTCGTGCAAAGAACGATGTTAGTTTTTTTCTGTTTTTTTTGCATTTTTCAAGTTTTTTGTTGATGATAAATCGTTAAATTAATTTTGAAATTTGCATTGAAACAAAAATTTTCTTTCTTCTTTCTTTGCCAATTCTTTGCATTCGTTTTTTGCCAATCGATTGTCGAGTATTATTTTGCTTCGACTAAGACAGGACCTATTTCTTAAAAGAAAATTAAGTTGCATTCAGGTTTTTGAATGGTTCCTACTGCAGATATCGAACTATTGTGCTTTAAGCGAAAATCTAAGCAAAGAGCATTCGGATATTTTAATTAATATAAAATATATTGAATGATACCTAAAGTGATAATAATGTTCAAATATTAATAAGGAATGGCTTAGTGGATTGCAGTTATTTCCAATTTCACTCTAATCGCTGCAGGATATGCCTCTTAAAAATCTGAGCTAGATTTTGGCGACTTTGTATCTCTATCGCATCCTTTGAATCACACTACGTAAAAAAAAATTATCCAAGAAGATAACATAGCGAGCCTAATCAGAAACAGTGAATAAAAAAGTAATAAGTAATTACTAATAATTACTAATAATAACTGTTAATAGGTTTCAGGAATTTGATAGTTTGCTAATTCTAACAGTGAAATATCACCTTGCAATAATATGCTGGGATGGAAACGGAAAAGTATCTACGCGAGCATCTGGTTCAGTTGCAGATCGTATCGGTAGGCCATCAGAAACTGGTGTGATTGCAATGATACATGCATCTGGAGTAAATCTTTGAAATATTTAATTAATTTCTCTAAATTATTGCAAATGGATATAATTAAGATATGCATTTTTTTTATAAGCGCAAATATATTTAGCTGAAAATATTTCATTAGATTTCGCAAGTACATTGAAGAAATATTATTTTATTTTTTTAATGTTAATCGTTTTTAGCTTCTTGCCTTTCGTCTTTATGATGGCGTAATCAAATTGATACAGTGGTCGGATGGAAAAGATTTACGTGGTTTTAATGTCCGTTGCGATGATCTTCATATAATTGACATCAATTTTCTTGATGATCCTTGTAAGCTTATTATGTAAGGAAGTATACTATGAAAATTATAAAAAATGATTTAGGAAATTTATTCTGTTCAATTTCAGTTCATCTGCGAAATATTTGAATACTGCATATTGATAGAAGTTTGAATCAAATTTTTTAGCTGCTGAAAAACCGACACTTGTATATATTTGTCGTGATCGAAACGGTTGTCATCTGAAAACTACAATGGTTAATTTATCAGAAAAAGAACTTCATGCGCCAACTATAGTCGCGGAAAATATTGAGCACGAGTCTTCGATATTAATTGCTGTTCCTCAACCACTGGGCGGTGTTATTGTTATTGGCCGTGAAACTGTAACATATTGTAAAAGTAAATTTTTAAAATATTTCATTATTTATTTCATAAATGCTCATTAATTTCAGAATTAATTTTTAATGATTCATTCATTCGGCTGTTTAGATAAAGATGTTTTTGTCGCAAGAGCACCTTTAATCAATTATCAGTCTCATGCTACTTGTTATGGCATAATTGATTCCAATGGTCAACGATATTTGGTTGGAGATCTTTGTGGACGTTTATTCTTGGTTAAATTGGAAGTTGCTATTAATTTTAGCGGCGTTAAATATGTTTGTGATATAAAGGTAAATTTGATTTTGGCTCTAGTATAAAGTAAGTTATATCAACCATTTCTTTATATGCATGTTGTTTTTTATTCATTTTTTTCTCTCATTGCCATGTGAGGCATGATAACTGCTTGCAGCTTTACAGCTTTGGCCAATCATTGAACATGCTATATAGTTATTTTATTTCTTTGAAAAATTATTGGGCCAAATTTCAATTTTTTTTTTAAGCCAAATGTAAGTATGGGAAAAAAGTGATTAGTGAAATATAATTTCCGTAAAATATATTATTTGCTAAAGCTGAGGACCGATTATATTATAAATAATTCATAGGATTTATTTTTGAAAATGGAGATGCAATGAAATGCAAAAATTATTTTAGAAGATAATTTTATGAATTTTTGATAATTTTAATTTTTAAAAAGTTATGAGGTTATGAGATTTTGATTTGTAAATGCGTTTATATATCTTCAATGCATCGCCAGCACGATGAGAATATTTCGATGACAAATTTGCTTCTATCGAAAGTGGAAGCTTTTCAGCGCAATGATCTGCGTCATTGTCAGCGCTATCCTTTTTCCTAACATTGAGGATAAATCGTAATAAAATGAATAAAAATGAACAAATATTTAGCAAATGAGTTTGGTAAAATAAAAAATTTTCAGATAAATTAATTCTAAGGTAACTATGTAATATTGTATGTTAAGAAATGTAAACTGAGGTTTTAGATCTAAATTTAATGGTTGAAATTTGATGCGAATAGGTGGATTACAAGTTTTTAAGTTAATGAATAAAGATTTGCATTTTATATTTATATTTATTTTTTTAATGGATAATTGAATTTGTCTTTTTAATAACTCCCTCATTATATAGTTGTTGGGATATGATTAGAAAGATCAGGTCCATCACCTTTTATAAAATTCAAAAAAGGTATAATAGTAAGTAATTTCCACAATTTGGACTTCCGAATTCAATATATGAACATTAATGCTTATAAAGATTCTGTGGGTTACTATGTGGTTCTATGCATAAAGGGGATTGTGATGGCATAAAATGCTATGAATATGCTATGAAAAGGTTCGCTAAAAATGATTTCGACAAACCAGTTTAAAGCAATAGAATATTTCGCAATATGTGCTGCTAACAACTTATAAGGAGTAGAGTGGCTTAGTGGGTTGTTGCTTAATTCGGATTGTCGATGTTATGCTGGCTACTCACCTGTATTTTGCCAAGAGGAAGCCAGGTGAGCAAATTTAATCAATAGTGGGAGAGCTCTTAAAAAAAAAGGTTTCATCGTAATTGCATAGGCTAGAACATGGCTTAACTTTTTCTAGCCCGATGCCATATCTAAAGTTCTAATATTGCTGGGCTGCCAATGTTTTCAAAATCTGTTTCAGTCTTCATCTTGATTGGTTTTTTTTTACTTTTTCTTACCGGCTTTCATTATAGATTTATAAAATGCAACGCGATAGGCGTACCATAGATAATTGCTAAGTTCATCTTGGTTTTCGTTGATTCCGTAGGGCTTTCGTTAAAAGATGATATAGAGGAATGAAGGTGTTTTGCTAACAAATTTGTGTTAGAAAAATATAAAAAAATTATGCAACACAGCGGTATTTTCATCAGAAATCATTGATTTGTTATATTTCATTTGACTTTCTTTAAGTAATAATTTTTATAAAATTGATAATTTTTTTCTAATACATCCGAAGCGTATTTACAGGATTTAGATTATTTTGTAAAAATTCGCCTAGGTTTATTCTTATTTTATTATTTTGATATTCTTTTTCATCAACGGTTTTTCTATTATCATGTAAATTTTTAGTTTGAATTTCTTGGTGAATGTTCGATTCCTGAATGTATCGTTTATCTCGATAATGGTGTCGCTTTTGTCGGCTCTCGATTCGGTGATAGTCAGTTGATTCGCTTATCATGCCAAGCTTTCGAAGATGGATCATTTATCCAAGTCTTGGATAGATTCTCGAATTTGGCACCTATTCGCGATTTAACGGTCCTTAATGTCAATGGACAACAACAGATTATCACGTGCTCCGGTTGTTTTAAGGTTCTCAATTTTTGCAATAAAAAAAATAAAAAAGTTTTTCGGAAATTAATGAACAGATTTTTTTTGTTTTTCCAATAGTTATAATTTTACATTTATAATTTTACGAGAAGTCTTTTACGACTTTCATAGTTTTATGCCATCTGTGATTAGTTTTTAAGTGTCTGTGCTTAGTTTACTTTTTATAAACAATTTTATAATTTTTTGGTTGGCAATTTTTAAGATTGTATGAGCAAAACATATATATTATGAAATTAAAATTGATTTTAGGATGGATCTTTGCGACTCATTAGAAATGGGATTGGTATAGCAGAACTTGCATCTATTGCTCTTCCCGATATTCGTGCTCTTTATACGATGCGTCTTAATTCGGAATTTGATGACTATTTGGTTATTGGTTTTGATAATACTACACATATGTTGAAATTTGTTGGGGAAAATTTGGAAGATGTTGATATACCAGGTGATTTATAAAAAATTTTTTTGGCAGAAATTGATGAAATAATATCATATTCTTAAAAGTTTAAAAGTTAGTTCAAAAATTCGAAGTTCTGTTCAAATTTTAAGTGTGCAGTGTTTTAAATCCAAAAATCAGAGCCAATAGAAAAGCTCAGGCATCTTGCCAATTCATGATATTTTAAATTTCATTGAAATTTTTTGTTGGAAAGTTTTTTCAGGTTTATCGATTTCGGAAAGAACAATATGGGCTGGTAATTTAGAAAGTGGCGGTATTTTACAAATCACTATATCAGGAATGTATATTGTCAAGAATGACACAAATTTCCAGTGGGTTGCACCATCAAGAATTTCAGTTGCTTCTGTAAATCCCTGTAGCGGGCAAGTGGTAATTGCTTGCCGCAACCTTCTTCATTATTTGCAAATTACGGATCATGTTGAATTAATTAAGGTGGTAGAATGCGATTATGAAGTTTCTTGCATTGATATCAGTCCTATAGGTTTGAATTTATTCTTACTTTTATTTTATATTCAAAAAAATAAGGACGAATTTCTACATTCATCTTCTTTATTGCTAAATTTAGGAAAGAAAAATGAATCTGAAGTTATTGCCCTAGCCTATTGGACAGAAATGTCCGTTGCTTTGATGACTATATCAGATATGAAAGAGGTTACGAGACAAAAAGTGGGTGATGATATGTTGGCTCGTTCAATATTACTCTGTACAATGGAAGACATAGTTTATTTACTGGTTGGTCTCGGTGATGGAACTCTTCATTATTTCCAAATTGATATGAGTTCTGGTTAGCATTTTGTCTTTTTTTTTGCATTCGTATTTATTTATTTGATTCGATCTTATTGGCATTTTTTTGAATAAATGAATGTTTTTTGTATTGCCGAGTAAAAAATGCAAAAAAATTTAATTTCACTTTTATCATATTTATTCATATTAAAAATCTAGATTTAAAAATCTAGATCTTTTTTGGTTTCTTTACTTTTATTTGATTTTCTCATATTTTAGGTATTTTGATTGAACCAAAGAAAGCAACTCTCGGTACCAGACCTTTGATTTTGCGAAAATTTATTTCAAATGGCATTCCTAACGTTTTTGCATGCAGCGATCGGCCTGCTGTTGTTTTTTCTTCTAATCATAAATTGGTTTTTTCAAATGTGAATGTGCGATTGGTTACTCATATGACTCCTTTAAATGCTGAGTCGTATGTAGATTGTACTGCGTTTACCGATGGCGAATATTTGATCCTCGGTATTCAATATTTTACAGTTTGTTTTGGTCAAAAATTTAAATCACATAGCTTCTAAGATTAGAAAGATTAAAAATGCTTTCATTCCAATAAATATTTTTATAGGTCTCTTTCGGCAGTAAATTCAGTTAGTTGTTCCTTATTTTCGTATTTCAGGAAAAGTTGATGATATCCAGAAACTTCACATTCGCGCAATACCTTTGGGAGAAAGCCCTGCTAGAATAGCATCTCAACCTGAAACCGGAACTCTCGCTATATTAACACATAGAAATGAGGTTATTTTTTAAATGGAGATTTAAATAAAACTCCAAATTTTTCATTATAATTATGCTGTTACAAAATATTAAATTTAGTACATGGATAAAACGGGAGTTCGATGTGGTGGAAATTGTGCATCAAAATCAGCTGCAAATATATCGAGCAGTCAACATTCTGCATCAAGACCTGACTCAAAACAGGCAACAGAATGGGAAGTATGTTTCCAATTGTTTATTTGTAGTATTGCCAGAAATATTTTATGGTCTTCAGAATTATTAGGTGGTATTTGAAGACTCTGATTTCACTAGAATTTATTGAATTAAATTGGAAATTCAGATATTAAATTTACAAAAAGATTAAATATATCAGTTTTTTGGTTTTTTTTAAATGATGGTTTTTTTGGACTCAATGATATTTTTTAAAAATTTATTACTTTTGAATCAATATTTTGATATTATGAATAATTTATATCTTGAAGTCCAGTAAAAAAAATTTTTTCCTTAATTTTATTTAAAATATAGGTAAATTTTCTTTCTGTTATAGGTAAGTTCAGTTTTATTAATGGACGCAAATACGTTTGAGATTTTGCATTGTCATGAAGTCGGAAAAAATGAGGTTGTAATGTCTCTTAGAAGTTGTGAACTTGGTGGTCAAGAGAAAAGAAGTTATTACGCGGTCGGCACTGCGCTGATCTATGATGATGAAACAGAGGCTAAATTGGTTAATATTTTGTTTTTTTTCAATTTTTTTGTTATTTCTCAATTTGACGAGTTGTTTTTCTATTTTGTTAATGGTAAAAATTCTTCAATTTAAGGGTCGAATTTTAATATTTGAAGTAAGTTCGATTAATGAAGGACGACATATGCGTTTAGTCCATGAAAAGGAAGTTAAAGGAGCTGTTTATAATATCCAATCACTTGATGGTTAGTTTCTCCTCTTCACTGTATATAACAATAAATGAAATTTTTCATTTTGGAATTAAAATTTTTGAAATTTTTAGAATTAAACAATTCGTGATTTCGTGATTTTCTTTGTAATAAAGTATTTCGTCATCGTGGGATTTTTTAACCTTTAAATCAAAATAATAAAAGAATAATTATTAGAAATATTATTGTTTATTGTTCATTATTAATTATTATTATTTATCTTTGATTTCTAATATGCATATGGAAAATTTGAAGGCAAACTTGTCGCAGCCGTTAATAGTTGTGTTCGGCTATTTGAGTGGACGGCAGATAAAGAACTACGCCTTGAATGTTCTGATTTCGACAATGTTGTTGCCCTTTATTTAAGTACAAAAAATAATTATGTTTTAGTTGGTGATCTTATGCGTTCACTGTCATTACTTTATTATAAACCAATGGAAGGGACATTTGAGAAAGTAGCTAGGTATTTATTTTTCTTTTTCTCATTCAGTTCTCATTCAGCTTCTATATTTTAAATCCATACTTATAAAAATGGCTATCAGTATAGAATACGAAAATAATTGGTAAAGTTATGTAAATGTTATGAGTACCAATTTTTGATTCAGACATTTTTTATTTATTACGATTTTTAAATTTTATTGTATGTCGTCCATCTTTGAGATTATTGTCATAGTTTTTACTGCTGTACCACAAAAAAGGAGTCCATAAATCAAAATTTTCGTATAGAAATAATTATTAATAAAAAAGCATTAAAGCTTCAAGAACCTAAAAGCATGGGAAAAACCGTTATTCTTAGCTCTGACCGTCGTAAAAATTTTTTTTCCAGAGATTTCGTAACAAACTGGATGACGGCATGTGAGATTGTTGAAAAAAATGCGTTTCTTGGTGCTGAAAATTCTTACAATTTATTCACCGTTAAACATGATAATTCAGCCACAACTGTGGAAGAGCAAATGCGATTAACCGTTTGTTCTTTTATTCGATTTTTTGAATGATATTTTGATTTTAAGAGAACCTCGTTAATTATTTAATTCATTTTTACAAATAAATATATATATATATATATACGTGAATGTCTGTCTTATTATAGTGTTCGTGAAAATCGGAAATGACTAGCTAATTCATGTATAGGTAGTGTTGAGATGGTTTTTATATTTTATGGTAATTTTATTAATATCTTAAAGTAATTAGTTAATTTCGAAGTGAAGTCGTCGGAAAGTCTGGCAAAGATTTTAATTTTATTGAAATTTCTAAATATTTTATATTTAAAAGATATTTCTAATTTTAGGAAGTAGGACTCTACCATTTAGGAGAACTGGTCAATGTATTTCGTCATGGTTCCATTGTGGCTTCACATATCGATACGATGCCACCATATACTACTCCAATTTTATACGGCACAAATGACGGCGGACTTGGTTTAATCGTGCAATTGTCGGATTCATTTTTTAAGTAAGACTTTAATTCAAACCAACTTCGTAAAAAAATTTTTACATTTGTCATTATTTCAGATTTTTATCAGATTTGCAAAAACAATTGGTTGGTGCAGTTGAAAATTGTTTGCGAATCAGCCACACACAGTATCGCTTATTTGAAACAGAAAAACGTGCTGAACCCCCAATTGGTTTTATTGATGGTGATCTTATTGAAACAATTTTGGATTTAAGTCGCGAAAAAATTCAAGAAATAATTCAGGACTTAAAGCTTTGGACAGATAATCAAGGTAACATTTAGCTTTATGCGAATTATTTTTTTTTCTCAGTTTTTCTAATTTGGAATTTTTGTTTATCTATATTAATCTATATTTGTTGGTCCAGTGAGAAAACAATATTCACTTCTTATTTGCTTTAAGAAGCGAAACGAAATTTGCAGGGGAAGAACCAAAAACAGCTTCCGTAGATGATATTCTCAAAATTGTGGAAGATTTATCTAGAATTCATTAATATTTTGATTATGTTCCGAACTGTAATTTTTTATTACCGTGTAACTCTTATTGAAAATCAAATCAGCAGTTGTTTATATAGAAACTCTTGAGTTAATAAAAATTATAAGCGGGTAATTAATTGAAAAACCACCAAAAAAATTGGTATGAAATTTTTGTCTTCATTTTCATAGCATTTTTTTTTGAATATGATTCTTGCATATTTTCTGGTTAAAAAATATTTTTATGTTTATTTTTTATGTTTATTTTCATTGTTAATAAATAAGAAATCTAAACCGATTCAAAGGTGATAAAAATGATTATGATTTTCTGTAATAAAAAAACGAATTTCAATCATTCAGTAAAACAATAAAATTGAGATTTTTTCGCAATTATTTCTTTTTTGATGATGCTTTTGAGGACAGTGGTTGACCCAAATCTTTACCTCGTAACTTTACACCCAAGGCTCGTTCCATTTTTGTCAAAATCTTAATGAAGCTAGTTTTTTAAATTAAAAATTAATAAAAGTTAGTTTCTTCGAAATGTTTGAACCAAAAAAACTGTTGAATACATCTTAAGTAGCGTACTTTACATGAAACATTCAACACCTACCTGCTGATTTGGAACTGCTTTACCATTTTCATATTCAGCGACCACTTGCGGTTTCTCATTAATATGCTTGAAAAATATATAATGTATGGAAATACCTATTTATTTTTTAAAATGAAAAATGATTTGTTAGAAAAGTGGAAAGGAACTCAGTCCTAACTCACAGTAGCGAGATCCTTCTGTGTCCATTCTTTCGCCTGACGAGCCTGCTGCATAACTTTCCCTAGTGATAATGGGACACGTTCGTGGTGCAATACTTCAGTCTCTCCATCTAGTCTTAAAACAAATGTTCAAAACAGATAGGTTTGCAGAATTTTGCAGAAAAAATTTCCATTGTCAAACTTTTCTCAAAATTTTTGAAAAAGTGAAAAACCAAATAAACCAAATACCAACAACGATATGAAGCAAGTTTCGCAAAAGATTTTTCACACCTAACTTCCTAAATGATAAAGAACCTTGTGGTGTTTGTATGAATTTGGTGCTGTTTATTTCCCCCTGCCATTGCTTTCCTCGATGTTTCTATCGCTTCACCTCGGCGTTGAGCAGCGTTTAATTCCTATAGCAAAAAATCTTTGTATTTTCTCCCCGCTTCCCACTTTATAAAATTCATATAAATCACGTTAAAGAAAAGAAAATGATCAAATGCATTATTCAATAATCAACTTCGGTAACATTCAAAACACTGAGTCACCCGAAAAATCTTCTTTTTTTAAAGCGAATAGCTAATTTTGCTCTTTTTGTTATATTGCTTTTTTTTATTATTTTAAATATTTATCCGAAATTTGACATAGAAAAGTGTAATTTTCGTCTCTTATCAGATTAACCAAAACTTCGAAAAAAGCAAATAAAAAGGAGAAACTTTTGTAGACACATAAAAAGACCGCAATGCAAAAAATGGTTCACCACGTTCGAAGCTACTACTGGATACTCAAAATGCCCTGTACAATGGTTTGATCCTCATTCTATAGATGAAACTTCTGGCAGTAATGGTGAAAACTAATCCAAAAGAGCTCCTTTCACATTGCAACATGTGAAGACATCTGCCTAAAGTTTGAGCAAAGAAAAAAAGCTTGAGAAATGGATACCTCACGAAATGGCGATTAGATGAATATGCGTATAGGGAGTATATCGTTCGCTAATGCATAAAGATGATTTTTCTGAAATGTATTTATATTTATGACGAAAAACGATAAAAGAAAATAGTCAGTGGCTCGACAATGCTAACTTCGATTCATGCCAAAATCGCTAATTATACACGACGAAGACCTATGGTCACTATCTCGTAGTTTATTAAAATGATCTCCATTATGGCAACTTAAAACTCGGTGCGACGTTTAACGGAGTTGCACAATAATTGCCACCATGAAATTTAAACAGCCAAATGATATTCATCATTATCATCATATTGAAGAATACAAAAATCCATCTAGATGTATCGTCTTAAGAAGATCATCTTCAGTATCGAATTTGTTGCCTTCCAATAGTTTACTGATTCCAGCAATTCAAAGACAAACAATTTGTGTGCCATTTTGGTAAAAGTGTGCTCATTAAACCAGTATTCACTTTGAATAAAAATTCTAGCTTCAAACAGTTATGGCCTTTCAAAAAAATGAATCAAAACAGCGAGAACCTTTCAGATGACCCAATAATAATAAAATAAAAATAGACAAATAACTATTATAAAAAAGAATTTAAAAAAATAAAAAACAAAAATTTTAAGAGAAGAGATTTCGGGTGATGCTGGCTACTCACCTATACTCCCATCACTAACAGATATTTGCCTCCGACATATTTGCCTAGTGCGAGAAGCCAATGGAGCGAGTCTAACCAGTAATGGTAAGGGCTACTTAAAAAAAAGGAAAAGGAGAAATTAAATATTAAATATAAAATATTACTTACTGAGGGCGTTTTCAATGTTTTCTGTATCGGTCCACGTTTATGAAGAATTGTAACGGTGTTCGGATCGGTGTCCGATTCGATTCTTCCCATTTTCGACATTTTTCAAATGAAATTGTTGCTGAAAATATTTTAGTATTTATCAATAAAAAATATCAAAAACTCATTTCATACGAATCTACGAGTATTAAATGGTTTTAAAAATTTTAGTTCGAATTGCGGCACTTTTTTCAATTTTACAGCTGATGTTTGGAGTTTGGAATCGGTTAAGTCGATCGATTACATCTCATCACAATTCTAATAAAACTCTTCTAAAGAAATTTTTATGATAAAATTTATTTCTCTCATTGAAAAGAAGCGCAAATTGCTAAAAATACAAATTTTCAAAAAAATTCCGACCGAACTTTTGAAAAAAAATTAAATATTATAAATGAAAAATATTAAAATTAATTGAAGTTAGAAGCAAAAAAAATTGAATTTGACGAATTAGAAAATTAAAAATTCTTTATTGAATAAAAAGAAAATTACAAAATCGAATTAAAATAAACGATTATGAAAAAAAAATTTCCATTTAGCAAAAAGAAAAAAAAACGAAAAAATTTTTTTTAATTTTTGGAAAAAAGAAAAGTGGAAAAAAATGAAAAATAATTTCTGAATAATTTCTGAACGCTTACAAAAGAAAATTTTAACAATTTCAGACAAAAATGAAAAACGATCTACAAAATTTTCTATCGACTGATAACCCAATAAAAACATTTTTCATGACGGACGTTGTCCAACAAAACATGTCCAATAACAATAGGCTGAAGCCGATTCGACTTTTTACAAAAATCGAGTGAAGAAAGAACAATTTTTTAATATGCGGCTCGGCTTTTACTCGATTTCGGTTACCTATTCTATGCAATAATTTCGTTGAGCGGTGGGAATTAATTAATAATGGGATAAAGGGCAAAGTTCCGTTGAATTTGATATTTCGAGAAAATAAGGGATGGTTTAATATTCATTACATAATCCTTTTAATGTCGTATTAAAAATTAAAGATTTTTACGATATTACTGCCCGGAACACCGCAGCTAGAAATGTGTTCTTCCGCTTGACGAAACATTTATGGAGGGGTCGTGAAGTCACCATAGAAACGAAAGTCTGCATATATATAGCCGTGATTCGTTCGATCTTGCTATATGGCTGCGAGACGTGGCCAATGAGTGGAGGATATTAAGAAGTTGTCTGCGTTTGACCATTCATGTCTAAGGTACATTCTACGGGTCCGTCAAGCGAATAAAATATTACATGGTTGCATCCATCTTTATTCATATACCACTTGCATAAACAATATTATCACAAAACGTCGCCTTTGCGGGGATAATGGCATCTCCGTCGTCATATTTCGTTATTTGCTAATTCCGTGTGATGGTTGGCGTCAAAAGCGAGGTGGCCCAATCAAGACCTGGGCTGATACGGTCAGAAAAGATTTTGAACGTATAGATGGACCAACAATATAAGGACTTAGACGATGGTAAAAGGAATGGATTCTGTTACTATTAGCGGTGATATTGAAATATTATTTCGGTAATGTAAGGATTGAACAAAATATATTTTGTTCCTCTAATGTTCCTCTAATGTTTTAAATGAACATGATAAATAATAAATAATAAATATAACATAGATGAAAGCAACAATAAGTCTTATCGCAGTAATTGATGATGATAGACGGGCGATTGTTAGTAATTTTACTCAGTTTGTTTCAGAGGTCATATAATTTTATCATTTGCAAAATATACAGATTTACACGTTTATAGCACTAATGACAAACTTGTTTCCAGAAAATCCTGAAAAATTTCCCAAGAAAAAGAAATCGCTCGACAATTCCCAAACATAATGGATACAGGAAATCGCTTTTGGTGAGAAGATATCTCAGTTATGGGAGAGAGTGTGGTGAACAATGAGGGAAAGTTACCTCGACCATAGCTAATTCTGAGAACATGTGTATAACCTTGCCGACATTGTATGGCGTGATGTAATGTTGGCCACAATTTTTGTTGATGAATTTCAGTTCTTCGGCGAAATTTTTTTATTTTTTATTTATAGAAAATGTGTGAATTCACAATAAAATTCAGTTTTATTGTCTACTATGTTGTTAAATTTATTATTTTTTTTCTAAGAGCGGTCACCATTTTTAGTTAGGCTGATCGGTCCATTTCCATTCGGTTGCTGGATCAGACAAATTTTCTGAAAGTCATTTGGCAATCGAAGCACAGATGAGCCGCTAGCACCACTGGAATTTTTGAAATACGGGTTTTACTGCTGAAGGTAGGATCTCTGCGTTTAAAATAAAGATAAAACATCAGCACACTGAATGAGCCATTCTGTTCTCATATTGCGATGAGACGGCTTAATGATGGCTTCATTTTCGAGAAAGTACTAAAAGTTTTTAGGCACTAACAATGTAAATAAATTTAATTTAAATATATTTAAATTTTAAATTTTATTGCCGAAAGTCATGAAGGTCGCAAAAAGTTTCTTTAGTGGATACGGGTTTTGCGGAACCCCATCTCAGGTAAGCGGCTATAACTGCCTAATGGAATATTTGTATCAGTTTAGAATCTAATTTCTTTATTTATAACCTCGATATTTGCAGATTTTCGTGATTAAAATACTTTTTTTAATATTTATTAGTTAAGTGAATATCTCATGAAAAAAAAATTTTCATTTTAAATTTATTATACTTAGCAGATTATTGGCTGCATGAAAAATTATCATATCGTTTGATAATAGTAATGGCTACGATTTTATCAAAATACAAGGAATAAAAATTTTCGAACTATTAAAATTTTAAAAACATTAATAGAAAATAAATTTGATAATAAGCATTAGCAATAAACAAGCATATATATTGTTCATATTAAAATGTAACCATTCGCTCGTAAAATGTTCACTAACAGTTCAGATCTAACGTTCTAGTCATAACTAATGGAAATTTATATACATATAAATTTTAATAAAAATGAGTTAAAAAAATTAAGAAACAGAAGAAATAAAAGAGCGCAATGTTAAAATTGCAGAAGCAATTTCGTGAATTATTAAAAGGTTGTGGATTTATTAGGCTCGGATCAAATATTGTCGGCGTTGTGCAACACGAACCTTCGATACAAACATTTGTTGCATTATACAGTTTACAAGTTGTGTCCGATGTACAACCAATATTTAATTTTATACCTCCATTAACACATAATTGATAGAAGGAACATGCTAGAAATAAAAAGAAATTTTATTTCGCCAAGGCAATATCATTTAGCGATAGAAATACAGAGCAATACCATCTAGAGCAGACTTTCCGAAGACACAGATCCGTTCCTACTGCGGTACTCAAGTTTCAGTGTTTAGAGAAACGAGGATTTTCTGATTTTTCTGCCCTATTTTATGGCCTAATTAATTAATTAAAATTGTATATAATAAATATTATTCTCAAAAAACTTTTTTCACCCCAATTTCAGGTTATTTTTATTTATTATTTATTTTTTTAATATTTTTATATATTTTTAAATATATTTTTATTTTTGAATTTATTAAGGCCTTCGTTGATTTTGCAAAACTCAAAGTTAACATCTAATAAGATAACAAAAATGAAAAATGTTCTTTTAATTCCACGGAATACAAATGACTTTTTTTTAAATCTAGGATGATCTAATGATGTTATATGAATGAATAATTTCTAACTTATAGTTATTTATTTATTAATGAGCTTGGTTTCGAAAAAAAGCTGACGGTCTTATCACTCGCTTATCATTTATCAATTTTATTCATTCGAAAAGAAATTATAATTAACAGAACTTTATAAAATTGTATAAATTTTATATAAAAGACTTACGAACGTCAGAGAAAAATCTAAATTGTTCAACTCCGCAAATATATTTTGGCATATTTTGTTGATTTGCTGTATCTTTATCGTTTGCAATGGCGTTTTGTGATGAAACGATTCGGCAGGATACTAATGAAAAAAGCAATAAAATAAGCATTATTCCTGTAAATCGACAATTATATTATCACTATAACTGCCAACATTAAGAACACATCATTACCGATTCATTATCATTCACCATTTCTGTTTAGATTCCCTTCGCTGGTTTATCCCTTCACAGAGAAATTGTGCCCGAGGGTCACCTAACGATGGAAGTAGAAATTTATAATTCGTCAGCATCAGCTGGTCAAATTTTTTGAAAGACAAGTTCACCCAAACGAAGAAAAAGAATTCAAGCATTGTCACTCCCGAAATAATTTACTGTGCTAAGTTTGTTTGATAGAAATCTTTAGAAATCTTAAGTAAATGTGCAAACAAGTTATACTTATACTTTTGTTTTACAGTTCTGCGTGTTTTATAATTTTACAGTTTTTTCCAAGTTTTCTTTGGTAAATAAAAATTTCTAAAAGAAATAAATAATCACCGATTATTGGATTATTTATTTTATTTAGGCTCATTTTGCTGGAGATTTTTGCCAAGTTATCACTTGGCGATACAAATATAGATAAGTATCATTTCAGTACCACTTGACCTGTTAAATAACAGGTTTTCTATTGTTTGAGGTATGAAGTATGTTGATCTAAGTTATTGACCACTCGACTATCCTCTTTCTTTTTCATTAAAAAAGTGAACTACAGTGATAATCGTTTACATAGTAGTTATTCAAAAAGGAATATGAAAATATTCTAGTTTTATATGATCAAAACTAAAGTAGTCTTTAAAAGATATAGTAAAAAATATATCATAAAATAATCATATTTTTTATATTTTTATGAAAAAGAGAAATAAATCGACGGCAGTTCTTCTGTGGTTGACTGGAAGGATGGATGGATGAATGGTTGACAGTGGAAAGTGATGTAACCAAGTCTATCATGCTTTTATTGACATTATCGTTGAAAAGTTTGACAAACATTTGAAGAATCACGCCATTTTCTGAATCATCATTAAGCGCTAACAAATTATTAAACATAGAACACGAACTTCAACTTATTCAATCTGCCCAAAACTAATGCTCCAACCTTTTGAAAATATTTCATTGTACTCTTTATCTTATCACTTTATCATTATTTTCAAATAACGAAAA